AATGTATATTTTTTTTTTTTCGGAACGATAGAAATATTATATAAAAGCGCACAAAAGTGCAAAGTTACAACCATAAGCTAAATACAAGCAGCCAACAGCTAAATGCAAGCAGTCAACAGCTGAAAAAGACTAGGAGGACGGGATCAAATCCCACCTAGAACCGACCCCAACGGGGTAATACTCGGCAACACAAAAATACAACTAGAAAACAACACACAAAGGCCCCAAAAGGGTAATACCCGAACATCGGATCCCAACAAGATAAAAAGGTGACACAAAGGCTCACAAAAGCCAACGATTCAAACATAATACCACAGGAAGCTCATATATATATAAGATAACTAAATAAGTTATAAACAAGGTTTTGCTTCTTACCAAAGTCCAAAGCACTCTAATAGGTAAAATCCCAGTTTTAAATTTGATTTCACCCGAATTATCATCAACTAGTACAGTGCCCGTGCGATGCACGGGAGCATTTATTATTTACTTGCCTTTTAAATTTTATTTTTATATTTAATTTGTCTAATGACAATAAAAATATCATGAAAATAAAAATTATATGTTATTGAACATTTCCTTATAACGTTATTGGTTTGATTCTTTGGCTTGTAAAGTACTTTATGTATGTTCAAAATTATGTAAAATTGCATATTATGAGTTATTAGTTAACAAATTATATTTTTTAAAATAATTAAGGGATCTTATTTATTAAACAAAATTCTAGTAGACCAAAAGTAGAAACTTTTAAGATTTTCACGCTTTTCTTTAAAAAAAATAAAAAATCTAATTCAATGTTGTGATTATGAAAAATTGAAAAGAATAATTAATTTTTTCTAAAAATGAAACCGACTTTCCTACCAATGCACCGATTGTTTTTACCAAACAAATTGATCCGGATATTTGGTTGAAACATAGTGAAAAGAATCATCATTTTTTTTTTCTAAAAATGCAACCAAATTGTCCTAAAATTACACCAATTTTTTTTACCAAACAAATTAAAATGAAATTAATTCTAATAAAAAATAGAAATAATTTGTTAAAAACTTAAAATTTATGAAATTGTTTCTTTCTTAAAAAAAATTGATACGAACTTAACGAAAAAAAATGATATGAACTTACCAAAATCTCGATAAACATAGTTAAGAAAAAAACATAAGAATAAAAAATATTAGTGCATTTTTGAAAAGTTGCACACGGTCTTGTAAAAGTTGCACATGATTTTGATATTATTGAATTTTTTTCTAAATAACTGGATAAAGTTTTATTTTAAAATCAAAGATGAACCGATTTTGTTATAAACAAACGTGGATACGATTTTGAATGTAAATCCCGTCCAAATCTCAACTTTGTTTTAAATTAATTACACGTGGTATTTTCTAATTTGCACACATTTGTTGAAAAATAAAATTATTCAAAAATATTGGACGAATGTTAAGAATTATACAATTATTTGTTTCCCAAATTTGTATCCAATTTGCAAGATTTTTAAATTAATTTGTATTTGGAATTATTTTCATAAATAACTGACACACTCTTTGCATAAGAATTTCCAAATTTGTTACTTAAAAAAAATGGGATTTAGATTGTGGTAAAAAAAAATAATACGGAAAAAAGTGGGATTCAAAATTTTGTCATAAGAATCTCCAAATTTGTTACCAAATGAATAAGATTCAGATTTTGTTAATTGTTACTAAAAATTTCTACTAATAGTAAGTCAAACATTATATTTTTTTGATCAAACTTTCCACAAATGATTTTTCCATCAACCTTTTTCAATATATATAGATTATTATCAAACATAAATCAAATTCACAAGACTTGAATTTAGGAAGACTGGACCACACAAACAACTTAAATTTCTATAGTTGCCCAAATTAAAGTTCAGAAAAATAAAACAAACAGGTCACATGTTGTCACTGGCGCCGAAAAGCGTTCTGTCCAAAACTCCCGTAATAGAAAATTACATAATCTAAGGCCTAAGCATAGTAAGTTCACATGAAAGGCGACCCAAAATTGCAGACAAAATTAAATGTAACGCCAAACTGATTGACGTACCCATAGGCACAAGGCGTGCGGATAATTATCAACGAAGTTTGACCAAAAAAACGCAAGGAATTGCAACTATTCGATTGTCCCGTATGTACCCAGAATCTTGTTGTAAATACTAAATACTAAATGCTAAATAAAATAATAATTCCATTTTTTTATTTTATTCACGATAATAATAATTACTCTATTTATATGCGTCCTATTTGACCGCCTCATCTCAAGCATGATGGCACCGAAAAACTTGGTTTTGTTATTATTGGGGTTGGCCATGGCTTCCTCCGCCGAGTACCGCCGCCCGCCGCCGCGGAGGGAGCTTTCGCAGCCGCTGAGGAAAGAACTCGATGACGTGGAATCAACTGCTCCCCAGCAGGTGTGATAATAAATTAATATATATATATATATATTTGATAATTCTCTTGTTCTGCCATTTGTTTCTCCTTTTAATCGTGTCATAAAGTGAGCGGATGTTTAGCACTGTACCCCTCCATCTTAAGTAATATATGCTGTATATGTGTTTTTGGGGTTTTCAAATTCTGATTTGGAAAATTCATATATATGGGGCGACTCGGAATATTCTCCTTTTTCCCCTTTAGAGGAAAACATATGATCCTTGAAATCTTGAGAATGCTAGGGAAATTAAGGATAAGTAAACCCTTTTTCAATTGGACCGGTCTGTAATGCCCCGTTTGAATTATGTATTTTCCTAAACTATTTAATTATCTTATTTTAGTTTATTCCAGTAATTACTCGATAATTTCGATTAGACTTATTATTTTAATTGGAGGTTCTCGTCTAATTGATTTAATAGGTCGCGCTATTTTATTATTGTCAATCGCCAACTGGGTAATCGTATCGATCGAAAGTCCTTGTTATCGCGTTATTCTATCGGCCCAATTTATCGGGAATATTTTCGGTACATTCGAATATTTACTTTCGGCCCATACCTTTTGTAAATCAGCTTTGGCCCAATTGAGTTAAATTCTTAAGCCATTAGAAGATATATTTTCGGCCCCAACTCTTTTAATTATTCCTTTGGCCCAAATCTATAACCCAGCAGATATTTATCTTCTCTTCCCCGTATGACCGAGTCCACCCATATCCATACCATTGGTTTTTCTGTTCCGATCGTTCAGTGATCTTTTCTCTCTCACGTTCGAATCTCGCTTTTAAAATCATCGAAAGGATTACTCGGTCTCTCAGAAATTCACAAATCTATATGATAGCAGGGTTTCTTCTCCAACCAGATTTTCCTTCAGATATCGATTGAATCCCAGATTTCAAATCACCATTTAATCCATCCTTCGATCGCCAATAATCCCAATTTCTCCCTCACAGCCCTTCGTCGGTCGTCCACTTAGCAGCAATTGGTGGGAGATTCTGAATAACGACAGCGAGAGTCATCGGAGGCCTTCTCCCTCTGCCAATCTTCGGCTGGACCAAACAACAGCCGTCGCCCCCTCTCGTCAACCCCGCACGCGACATCAAGGAGCAGCAATTTCAGTTCGCCAGCCCTTGCCGTGAAGCAACGACACCTTCCGACGAGCAGCAAGCCCCGCGATCCACCCTAGGTCCGCACACATCGGATATTTCAGAGCCTTGGTTCGCGTGAGATGATGCCGCCACGACCTTGAGCCCCAATTTTCGGCAAGTTCCCTTCTTCCCCGTGGAGTACCAATGAGAATCCTCGCGTTTCAGTAATTTCCGACGAGTTCGAGCTTTACCTCAAGTCGCGATGAGTCTCAACCCCGGCGAGCTTCACCACCGCCCGGTGACCATCGTCCGGTCACGTTGAACTTCCGGCGCGACCATGTCTGACCCTCGTGACTGAAATGACCTTTGGTGAGCGAATCTTGCCGACGAACAGAGGAGAGTTTGAGCAGTGGGCTGAGCCAGTTTTGGACACTTTGGTTGGCGTGACCATGTCTGACCCCGTTGTTTACGAGCAGCCGTTCTCAGTCCGGCGACCTTGGAGCATACTAGCGGCACCCCGTCGGCTTTCGGTTAGGGCCCGAACAGCAGCGGCAGCCCTTTCGGACCCGTGGGAGAATTTCGACAGCCCTTTTGGGCCCCGTACGAGAGTGCAGCAGCCGTCGAGGCCTCGCATCAGCGGCTGAGACCACCGGGAGCAAGGGGCGTTCATCCGAGGCGAGCCGTGGCGAGGCCTCTATCCCCGGCCCCTCTTTCGCTGCCTATAGTCCCCCGACGAGAGGTGATTTTCGCCAAATCCCCTTTTCTTTGTGAAATCCGGACCTTACAAGTTGTGTTATACATGGTGTGCTGTGTGAAATTTAGATACCCATGGATAGTCGGGAATGAATTTGGTGTTATTTTCTTGGGTGTTTATTTGTGTAATTGGCTAAATAATGAACAAGAGAATGAGATACGCTTTCTTGTTGTTGGCTCGAGTTTCGGACTGTTTTGCTGAGATAGTATGATGCGTTTTAGCATACTGTAGATGGATTATTTTTAGAGATTTTATTTCGATTATTTGTTCCTTGAATGTTATTTACTCAAACATAAGAAAAGAAAATGAAAGATAGGCTTATTGGGTTGTTTTCTTAGCCATTTGTGATGTTGTTGCTGAAACTTATGGTGTCTCTTAGCATGCTTAGCTTAGATGTTAACTGAAGAGAAAATGGGAAGATTATATGTTATGTTTTGTGCCGTGTTTGAGACCTTAATATGATGCCTCTGATGCATGAGAAAAGTGGGTGATGATGAGGCTATGTTGTGCTTATTTGGCCGAGTTATGTGATACTTTTGCTGAGCCTGATGAAGTCATTTTATGTTTTAAGTAGTGTTGTTATGTACATGTTCAAAGCCTTTAATCTCAGTTATAAATGCCTTATGACTTGTGTTTAAATATGAGAAAAAGAAAAGGGTGAAAGCACGATTTTTGTATGTTCTTGTGATGTTGGCCGAAGTATACCCTATTTGGTTGAAGCATATATCTATTGTGATTTTTTAACTTGCTAAATTAGAGGTGATTGTAGGCTTTTATTTCGGTCCTTACAACCTAAGTGACTTGGTGTGGGTTTTGCCTTAGTTGATATTGAATTGTGCATGAGAAAAGAAAATAGATAAAGAAATGTGAATATATGTGGTGTTATTTTCCCGAGCCGTGTAAATGGTGGGTTTTGTTGAAGTCTTTAGAGTGCTTTACTCATGCTGTCAAAGTAATATTTATAGGCTATAGCATGTGTTCTGTATAGTTTATTTGATTACCTATTCCGCTAGACTTTTTATGTATATTTTATGAGTGGTTACTATGTGCATTTTATTTTATGAGTTTTAGTTGTTGGTTTGTGTGGCCTAGTCAACCCAATCAAAACCCTTAATAATAAAAATTCATAATTTTAGGTTCCCGAAGAGTCGAACTCTCGAACCTACCTTGAACTTTTGCGCATTTGTCAATGCCGGACCAGGTGGGTTTTATTTAAAAATTGTCTATGCTGTAAATGTTATTACTGTTTTAATTATGGTATGATCAAGTATGCATGTGGAATATGTAGCCTTCGATGTGAGCTGTACCGGCCGTCGAACAGTTATCCCCGTAGCTATAGAACGTACCCGTTGGGTAGTCTCCTCATTATTGTGAGCCGTAAGACCTGAGTTAAAGGTCCCTGTGCTGGACACATTTTGAGTCGTAAGTCCTGGGTTAAAGGTCCCTGTGCTGGACAAACCCCGTTGGTAAGACCAAGGTGAGGCCTTGGCCGGCGGGTTACTCCTACTGACCGGGCATCGATGGAAGCCCGTGGGGCGATTCGGTGTGTAGGACCGAAGGGCATAGATGTAGAGCCCATGGGGCATTCGAAGCATGACCCGAGCGAGGGCCTTCGATACATCTACCGGCAGTAGTCTATTGGTATAGGTGTGCACATGAGTCTATTATTGATATGATTGATAGGAGATTGGGATAATTAATTGATTCGTATACATGCTGAGACCATACCTTATTGATTATTGATTACTGTTTCATTATTGTGAATCATGTTTACTGCATAGTGGTGAGCACTACTTTTTCCAACTGTGCTCATCCCCACCTGAAATTCACGTTTCAGATTAAGCGAGGCAGGTACGACGGCGGAGTAGAGCGAGTGGTGGTCGGTCTATAATAAGACTGACCTTATTATTTGTTATGCTTCCGCATTTATGAACTGGTTTTATGATTATGAACTTGGTGTATTATTGCTTTTATGAATTTCGGATTTTATGACTGAATAATGTTAAGGAGATGCTCCTTAGAATTCATGAATATTGTTGGGGCCCGGTTTGGGTGATGATTTATGAAATTTTGGAAAACCTGTTTTTGGGAGATAGTATTATTGATGATGTTTGATGATTGAGTATTGAAAAAAATTGGTTAAGTATTGAAGTTCGATTTAAAAAGGGGTAGCGCCTCAGTTGTTTCGAAATAAATTTGAAAAATTTATTCTGTTTTTGGGGTTTTCAAATTCTGATTTGGAAAATCCATATATATGGGGCGACTCGGAATATTCTCCTTTTTCCCCTTTAGAGGAAAACATATGATCCTTGAAATCTTGAGAATGCTAGGGAAATTAAGGATAAGTAAACCCTTTTTCAATTGGACCGGTCCTTACTCCCTATGAAACAAGAAAAAGGATTTGGATACTGCAGACACTAGAATCAGGGAGTCTGGGATCGAGGATTCATTTTACTCGGAAGAAGGTATTTAAATGTGTGGCTTCAAATTTGTTTGGTTTAACATTTTCATTGCATTTCAAAACATTTTTTTTTTCAATTCATTAAAGAGCGAAGAAATAATCTGGTTTTGGTTTCTCTGCATTTCAGATTCCCCTAAATTGCATTTCCCGAGGCACTTCAAAAATCGATTCGATCCAGAATCACAAGTTTATGGTAAGATTTCTACTACATTTTTTTTTAATCAATCTTTTCGGTAGGTAGGCTGTGTTAGTTGAATATGCTAGTCTTTGGTAGACTTTTCTCTCATTTTCGGTAATTTGTTTCATTTTCTCAGAAAATTAAGACCCTCAGTGTGGGATTGGAATCCACGGCTTTTCATTTGAAGAAGAAGGTAACTTAATTTTCAATTTTTTAAAAGTGTTTTTGTAAAATCACCGAACCATCGCCATTGAATCCTCAGACATTTTGGATTTTTCTGTTACTTCATTTCACTCTAATGTAGAATACCATTCTCCTTTAAAAGCATCTCAAATGCTTTTCCAATGAACTCACTTCATTATCTAACCTCAGTTCCTTTATCAACATTCAAACTGCACCCAAACCATTTTAATGAAGAACCTCATATGTTGACTCACATCTGATTTATATTTCATCAAGAACATCCAAGTGGCTCTTGTAAAATCATCCACTATTGTCAACATATAAGAGGTATTTGTCATAGATGCATCATGGTAAGGACCCCATACGTCAACATGAACCAATTCAAATTTGCAGTTTGTTTGAATATTACTTGAGACAAAAGGCAATCTACATTGTTTGGATTTATGGCACATGTCACTAACATCCAGCAATTCTTTGCTACAAACTATTTTCAGAAAATCTATATGTTTCAAACATGAAATTCCACTATGCCCAACCATGTTGTGCCAGACCTACAGCATTTTAGCATCGAGCACTGTACCAGCCATCTCCTTACAACAATTTTCTTCCATCTGCAATATGAATAAGCCTCCTATTCCTTTTCCTTTAGCAAGTGGTTTACTTCCTTCAAGGCCCTGCAGCCAGCATTTTTCATTAGTGAATATGAAACTCAGCCGTTTATGAGTAATCAGTTGACCAATAGACAAAAGGTTATACTTGAACTTTGGCACAAAAAGCACATCACTCAAAACAATTCCATCCCTTAGTTTAACCTTTCCCAGCTCAAAAACTTCAAATCTAATGCCATCAGGTAGATTCACCATACTAGGAACTTTCACTTAGATATGCTACACATTAGTTTTTTATCTGAGCAAATATGTTTGCTTGTCCCTGTATCTACTATCCAACCCCCTCTGTTTAACTTATTCAATATAGAGAATGCATATGTGTCCTCATTACCCGAGTAGTCTACAAAGTGAGAGAAGGAGTGATTATCTCATGATTGATGTCCTGCAAATTATTTAGCTACTTCTAATGAATCATTACTTTGAGACTTTGCATCAACTTCTCCTTTTCCCAATTCATCATGTTCCACCAGATTAATTGTTTGATTTTGTCTCTGTTCCTTAAGCTCCTTACCAGTGTATCTCTACCAGTTCCTCTTCCATAACTTCCTTTTACAAACATCGCTGAGGACTCAAGTGTATCATAACCGGTGTATATCATAGATTTTTGCTTCTCAACAAGAAGCCTTATTTGTAGTTGGCAGAGGATCCAACAATAAAATCTGATTATGGAATTTTATGTTACTTCATTTTGGAATTTATAGTTCTGTTACTTCATTTCACTCGAAAAAACTGAATTAGAATGCATAAGGAAGAAGAAGATAAAATATCTTCATTCGACTGTTGAGGCAAACACACACAATCACATGCCTACACGTACCGTCTAAACTAACAACCAGAAAATATAACAAAAGAGGTATAGCGCTTCTTTAAGTAAAATGCGCGACTTTTACCAAAGACATAAAAAGAAGAAACAAAAGGAAAAAATAACAAAAGCAGCATGCAAGACGTCCACCCCCCTTCATCCACAAACATCACATATGGCAACAGTTTTCTTGCTAAATCTTTCTTCACAATGTGGTTGGTTTTTTTGTTTTTGTTCATTCCCAGGCATACGTTCCCAGACATTTAGTGGTTGCCATGTGTGAAAAAATTCCAAAGTGTGACGAAATTATGCAAAGTGAAGAAACTCCGTCTGAACAAATTCTGAAGTCTGAAGAAAATCCGGAGCGTGAAAAAATTCTCACCAAAGACTTGAACGAATATGCACAAAAAGCGAGTGACAAGATAAGATTTGGCAGTGGATACTTTTGTCAGGTATTATATTTCCACGGTCGCTACCAATGGCCGCACACCTTTCCGCTCACGAAAAACGCAATCTGTCGCGTTCTACCATCAACATCGCAGCTAAGTACACATTTTTTCAAACTCAATCCAGAACGTAAGGCACCGAGGGACATGACAGGCTATAAATATGAATCGATATCTAGGTTTGAGCCTCAGTTAAAAGTTTTTTGGGTGAATCTCAAGGATGTTGCTTCTTTAGCGGCACTTGAAGATTTCGTGATGGATGAATTCGAAAAACATGGAAAGTTATTGACCTTGGATATTGAGGAATACTTTGCGTTAGTTTTGACCATCACATTGGCTCTGCCAAAATGTATGTAATTGGTTCATTGGGTAATGTGTACACTTTATATTAGCGTAGTAATTAAGTTTATTTTGCCAATACTTATTTGTTGTTTTTTTTTCCTACATGCAGCTCTGCTGTTGCCAATTAACGTGCGACTAACGCCTGAGTTTGTCGCTAATACAACCTTACTATCAATGGAGCTAGTCGTAGTTCCAGGAATCTTAGTGGGTCATGCTGTAATTGTGCAAGTATCCACTGTCAAAGTCAATAGCCTCTTTTTATTCTTCGAGGCAAACATTCATTACCACCCTCGGCTACTCTCTCTTATGAATTGTGATAGGTATTATTATGCGGATGGCCCCTCCACTGGGGATTCTATTATTTTACCAGGTATTGTTTATAGTTTATTATGTTTCATAATGGAAATTTGTTTTTATAGGATGATTCGTCAATAAGTTTAAATTGTTTTGTCCTTTTATGAAGGTCCATCATTCTCATCGGGCCAGGTTGTCAGGTATTGTTAATTTAGTTGAGGATCTATCTCAAGTTTGCAATTAAATTATCTCAACTAAATTAACAATACCTGACAACATGGCCCGATGAGAATGATGGACCTTCATAAAAGGACAAAACAATTTAAACTTATTGACGAATCATCCCATATAAACAAATTTCCACTATGAAAGTCACAAAATAACATATAATAAACTATAAACAATACCTGGTAAAATAATAGAATCCCCAGTGGAGGGGTCATCCGCATAATAATACCTATCACAATTCATAAGAGAGAGTAGCCGGGGGTGGTAATGAATGTTTGCCTCGAAGAATAAAAAGAGGCTATTGACTTTGACAGTGGATACTTGCACAATTACAGCATGACCCACTAAGATTCCTGGAACTACGACTAGCTCCATTGATAGAGAGGTTGTATTAGCAACAAACTCAGGCGTTAGTCGCACATTAATTGGCAACAGCAGAGCTGCATGTACGAAAAAAAACAACAAATAAGTATTGGCAAAATAAACTTAATTACTACGCTAATATAAAGTGTACACATTACCCAATGAACCAATTACATACATTTTGGCAGAGCCAATGTGATGGTCAAAACTAACGCAAAGTATTCCTCAATATCCAAGGTCAATAACTTTCCATGTTTTTCGAATTCATCCATCACGAAATCTTCAAGTGCCGCTAAAGAAGCAACATCCTTGAGATTCACCCAAAAAACTTTTAACTGAGGCTCAAACCTAGATATCGATTCATATTTATAGCCTGTCATGTCCCTCGGTGCCTTACGTTCTGGATTGAGTTTGAAAAAATGTGTACTTAGCTGCGATGTTGATGGTAGAACGCGACAGATTGCGTTTTTCGTGAGCGGAAAGGTGTGCGGCCATTGGTAGCGACCGTGGAAATATAATACCTGACAAAAGTATCCACTGCCAAATCTTATCTTGTCACTCGCTTTTTGTGCATATTCGTTCAAGTCTTTGGTGAGAATTTTTTCACGCTCCGGATTTTCTTCAGACTTCAGAATTTGTTCAGACGGAGTTTCTTCACTTTGCAGAATTTCGTCACACTTTGGAATTTTTTCACACATGGCAACCACTAAATGCCTGGGAATGAACAAAAACAAAAAAACCAACCACATTGTGAAGAAAGATTTAGCAAGAAAACTGTTGCCATATGTGATGTTTGTGGATGAAGGGGGGTGGACGTCTTGCATGCTGCTTTTGTTATTTTTTCCTTTTGTTTCTTCTTTTTATGTCTTTGGTAAAAGTCGCGCATTTTACTTAAAGAAGCGCTATACCTCTTTTGTTATATTTTCTGGTTGTTAGTTTAGACGGTACGTGTAGGCATGTGATTGTGTGTGTTTGCCTCAACAGTCGAATGAAGATATTTTATCTTCTTCTTCCTTATGCATTGTAATTCAGTTTTTTCGAGTGAAATGAAGTAACAGAACTATAAATTCCAAAATGAAGTAACATAAAATTCCATAATCAGATTTTATTGTTGGATCCTCTGCCAACTACAAATAAGGCTTCTTGTTGAGAAGCAAAAATCTATGATATACACCGGTTATGATACACTTGAGTCCTCAGCGATGTTTGTAAAAGGAAGTTATGGAAGAGGAACTGGTAGAGATACACTGGTAAGGAGCTTAAGGAACAGAGACAAAATCAAACAATTAATCTGGTGGAACATGATGAATTGGGAAAAGGAGAAGTTGATGCAAAGTCTCAAAGTAATGATTCATTCTCTGACATCAGTTAAAATTGTGCAGAAAGAAGTAGCTAAATAATTTGCAGGACATCAATCAGGAGATAATCACTCCTTCTCTCACTTTGTAGACTACTCGGGTAATGAGGACACATATGCATTCTCTATATTGAATAAGTTAAACAGAGGGGGTTGGATAGTAGATACAGGGGCAAGCAAACATATTTGCTCAGATAAAAAACTAATGTGTAGCATATCTAAGTGAAAGTTCCTAGTATGGTGAATCTACCTGATGGCATTAGATTTGAAGTTTTTGAGCTGGGAAAGGTTAAACTAAGGGATGGAATTGTTTTGAGTGATGTGCTTTTTGTGCCAAAGTTCAAGTATAACCTTTTGTCTAGGTCAACTGATTACTCATAAACGGCTGAGTTTCATATTCACTAATGAAAAATGTTGGCTGCAGGGCCTTGAAGGAAGTAAACCACTTGCTAAAGGAAAAGGAATAGGAGGCTTATTCATATTGCAGATGGAAGAAAATTGTTGTAATGAGATGGCTGGTACAATGCTCGATGCTAAAATGCTGTAGGTCTGGCACAACATGGTTGGGCATAGTGGAATTTCATGTTTGAAACATATAGATTTTCTGAAAATAGTTTGTAGCAAAGAATTGCTGGATGTTAGTGACATGTGCCATAAATCCAAACAATGTAGATTGCCTTTTGTCTCAAGTAATATTCAAACAAACTGCAAATTTGAATTGGTTCATGTTGACGTATGGGGTCCTTACCATGATGCATCTATGACAAATACCTCTTATATGTTGACAATAGTGGATGATTTTACAAGAGCCACTTGGATGTTCTTGATGAAATATAAATCAGATGTGAGTCAACATATGAGGTTCTTCATTAAAATGGTTTGGGTGCAGTTTGAATGTTGATAAAGGAACTGAGGTTAGATAATGAAGTGAGTTAATTGGAAAAGCATTTGAGTAGTTTTTTCTTCGGGAAATTGCCGCCCGAACGGGTATACTTCCTCTCGCTTTGCAGTCTCCGACCTTGGTAAACATCCTTTGCCAAAGAGGTTTAGGTTTCTCAGTTCGATGGAAGGACTGTCAATTCCTCTCGCTTTCATCCCAGTTTCGGACCTTTGGTAAACAGCCTCTTCCTCTGCCATTCCCTCTAATATTCATATTCGCGTAGAGACATATTTGAAAAAGAGGAATAGAAAAGGTAAAACTGTATCTTTTGTTGATGGCATCGCTCGCTCCCTTGTTTTTGTTTTTCTACCGATCTTCTGGTATAGGACTTTCGAAGTTGGTCTGCTTCCTCCGACCCAAACAAGGTATTCCAACTCTGGAAGCATCGCTACCACTCCATTATATGGCATTTCTGAAGGCACTTTCGTAAGGGCTCCTACTTCTACTGTCGTCGCTACGATAGAAACCCTTGTTATTTACGAATTCCACTAAATCTATTGCTGGAGAGAAATCGAGATCATTGCGACGAAGAGTTCGTTCCTTTCCCGTGTTGTGTAAAAGATGCTATTTTTATCGGCCCTCTTCCTCCTAACTCGTTCTGGTTCTATTCGACAACTCGTCATATCGTAGTAATCCCAGATGCCTTGGGTGCGATAGATGAGCAGGAAATCTACCTCCGAAATGCTGGATTGGATTTCAAAACCGTAGTTCCTCATCCCTTGCTTGTTCTTCATCGTCAGGAATCTAAGACAGGCAAATATGTCCATTTCTTACGAAATTTCTTTATCCCATGGCGTCTGAAAATTGAACACTCCTATGAACGTGACGTTGAGCAGCTTGAGATTGAAGAAGGTCAGCCAAGCAGCCCTGCAGCAAGCAGCAAGTCACTGGAAGTACCCTTAGTTGCTGCTGCTGCCTCCCCACTCATTTCAGCTTCGAATTTGGATGATAATGGTGAGTTCCCATCACTTAAAGATGCTGAGAAAGTGGTTACAGCTGCTGGAAATGCAGGGGGCAAAGGGGCAGAGCAGGAGCTGCTCATGTCTCAATCCAACATTGGCGAACGGAACATGTTCGACAAAATGCCTAAGACAAACTCCAACATAATCACCAAAGATGTAAGCCAAATAGAAAAACCAGTACCATCACCAACTTGAATGAGACCAGTACCATCACCAACTTGAATGAGCTCTTCCCAGGGATTAGTTCCCCAGTGGTAGTAAAGCCTTCCAGGTCAGTTGTTTAAGATTCGGATTATCCACATGCCCAGAATTTGACCTTAGAACTAAAGCCCCAGACCGTGGTTTACGGCTACCCTACTTCTTTCTCTTTCTTATTACGACGCTTATCACCTCAACTGCCATTCCTCAGGGATTCCAATTTCAATATGAACTGAGGACGGAAATTTTTAGTATTTCTGTTCTCCAATCTGACCGGACAATGATCCTTTGGGTGGCGCCTTTCGGGAGACATGGTCAAAAGGAGATCGTAACATGATAGCTTTAAGTGTAAGTGCTTTCACCAAAGGCTGGATAGAATCCTTCAATGAGATAGAAATGCACTTTAATCAGAGTTCAAGGAAGACAGAACAAAGGAAGGAAGTCTGCGCTTGAAAGGAACTCAAATCAATATCAGGAATCAATACGAGGTCAATATTCAATAAAGTAGAGGTTTACGCAGACTTGGCCTCTTCATCATCCGAGCGATCGGAGAGTTCTCCTTACAAAAAAGGGCTATCCTTTCAAGATATGTCACCCCAACCTGTTGGGATTGCATTAGTGGATCCCTTCCACAGGTTCTATGTCTATAACCTGGGACATAACAGCCAACCAAATCTCCCGATGAGCGGCCTTTCTACTTCTTAGTGCTACGAGAGAGGAGATCATCCTCTTCGGTTTTGCATATCCATTTCATATCTTGGCTGCTCTTTATTGTGCTCATGATCCGCATCTCGGGCTCGATCTGATCTAACCCTTTAATTCCGATTCTCTCTCCCCATACACTTTTAAAAAATTGAAAATTAAGTTACCTTCTTCTTCAAATGAAAAGCCGTGGATTCCAATCCCACACTGAGGGTCTTAATTTTCTGAGAAAATGAAACAAATTACCGAAAATGTGAGAAAAGTCTACCAAAGACTAGCATATTCAACTAACACAGCCTACCTACCGAAAAGATTGATTAAAAAAAATGTAGTAGAAATCTTACCATAAACTTGTGATTCTGGATCGAATCGATTTTTGAAGTGCTTCGGGAAATGCAATTTAGGGGAATCTGAAATGCAGAGAAACCAAAACCAGATTATTTCTTCGCTCTTTAATGAATTGGAAAAAAAAAAATGTTTCGAAATGCAATGAAAATGTTAAACCAAACAAATTTGATCCCACACATTTAAATACCTTCTTCCGAGTAAAATGAATCCTCGATCCCAGACTCCCTGGTTCTAGTGTCTGCATTTTCTGTATATGCTCATAGTTTATTTATGTGGGTGTTTTGAATGGGAATTTTAAAAATATTTTGAGATGTTATTTCGGTAAATTATTTTGATTTTTTTTTCTAAGCTTTTAACAATCTAGAAGTAATATTTGCTAAATGTTTCAAAAAATATGAACTCTATATTTCAGATTTTCAATAATTTCATCATGATCAAAACAATTATTAAAATGTAGAGAGTTTAAAACGTTAAAAAGTATTCAAAAATAATTCATACTGTTGTTATATTTATTTATTCTTATTATTTTGTATCAACCAGGTGCATTTATCTTTAAGTGGCGCGAACCACATGAGAATCTCATGGATCACTTCAGATCCAACTCCATCAGTTGTGTACTACGGCCCAGGCCCAATCCTAGGCCCAGGATCCAACTCCCTCTCATCCACCGGAAGCTCCAACCAATACAAGTACATGCTGTATAACTCCGGACACATACACGACGTCATCATCGGCCCATTGGACCCAAACACATTGTACTACTACCAATGTGGCTCACCTTCCACCCCTGAGCTCACCTTCAAAACTCCCCCATCACAATTTCCCATCAAATTTGCTATCTTAGGTAGTAAATATAAAAACCACGACCAATCCAATTATAAAAAATGATGGTTTTCTTATGGAGTCATCCATCATTTAATGTAATGACACGTGTTCAAAGTATATTTATTGTAGGACACGTGTCAATACTATTTGTGAATAAATGTAGATGACTCCATAAGCCGTGTCATCCGATGGTTCCATAACAAAACTAATCCAATTATATCAATTGACGACTAATTATTTCTACATCCATTTTGAATTAAATAAATACAGGCGATCCGGGTCAAACCGAGCACACGAACTCAACCCTAGGCCACATATCGAAATCAAACCACGACGTGCTTTTATTACCGGGCGACCTCTCGTACGCGGACTTCTATCAACCTTTTTGGGACACGTTCGGGCATCTTGTGCAGCCGCTCGCCAGCAGTCGGCCGTGGATGGTCACTCAGGGCAACCACGAAATCGAGTCGATCCCTCTTCTACACAAGGAGAAGTTCACCTCGTACAACGCAAGGTGGGCCATGCCACATGGCGAATGCGGATCCCCCTCCAACTTGTTCTACTCCTTTGAGTTGGGCGGGGCCCACGTGCTCATGCTCGGCTCGTACGCGGATTTCGAGCCAGGGTCGGAACAGTACAGATGGCTCGAGTCGGACCTGAGGAAGGTGGACCGAGGCAGATCCCCGTGGCTCGTGGCAGTGGTGCACGCGCCGTGGTACAGTACGAACGAGGCCCATCAAGAGGAGTACGAGTCGAGCGGCATGAGGAAGTCCATGGAGGATTTGCTCTACCGGGCTCGTGTGGACGTGGTTTTCGCGGGCCACGTGCATGCATACGAGCGCTTTGTGAGAGTGTATAAGGATAGAGCAGATGATTGTGGGCCCGTGTATGTGACGATTGGAGATGGGGGAAATCGCGAGGGCCTTGCTAAAGGGTAAGACAAAAGTACGATATTTTATAGTATAAGTATTGTTTATATGAAGGAAAAAAATTGAGCCTAATTCACATAACATGTTGACTAATACTAGAATTTTTTTGTTCAAATTTGTTTTTGATTTTTGACAAATTGGGTTGAAACTGTGGTTTTTGGATAGGTACATGGATCCAAAGCCAGATATATCTGCGTTTAGAGAGCCAAGTTTTGGGCATGGACAACTCTTGATACAAAATGGGACCCACGCTTTGTGGACGTGGCATAGAAATGACGATGATGTAGAATTTGCATCTGACAACATCTGGTTGACAAGTCTTTCATCAGTTTCTACGTGTTCTTAGTTTTTATCCAAGTTTTTTTCTTCCACAAATATAAATTATTGAATTTTGTATATTGGGTTGTGTATAGAGGAGCCCAAATAAAATTAGAGACTCCTTCATGAATAATTTGGGCCTAAAGCTGAATATGAGATGCAAGTGGCCAAGCCCATAAATATTGGAATTGTTAAAGCTATGAATGACTATAAAATATTGAAACTGAGAAAATTACTTGATCTATAAATTTATTTTTGTTTCATTTATGAAATATTTGTTTTTAATTGAAATTATGCTAAATTTCAAGGTTTATAAATAGTTGTTTTGTTGTTATTTTTGTCATTTGTTTCCAAATTGTATTGTTTTTTTGTCTATGTATCGCTTAAAAATAGTTTACGTATGACTTAATTTTGAATGTTGTATTCTGTAATTTTTTCTTTTAATATTCTACACATGTTAAAGAACAAATTAGTGATGAAGTTATTTAGTCCAATGTAATGATAGACACATGAATGGAAGTATGAGAAATAAGTTCGTGGTCCTCATGGTGAATGGAAGTATGGACATGGGAAAAACAATTGGTCCCAAATAATAATCTAATAAATGAGAGATATTACCGTAGTATTGCAACATAATTTAGCAGGTTTCATCGGAAGAGATATGGACCTAATTTCATGTACGGGAAGTGAAATTATTAACTTTTGAGTATTGTACTTATATTTGGAGGGATCTCTACGTTATAAACAACTTCGAAAAGGTATTTCTATGGATAGATATAAATCATCACAAGATTTAAAAAATACAAATTTTTGAGATATCACAACTCTAATGTGCAGCCACAAAGACGGTATTTGAATCTAATAGAATTGATTTTAGCATCAGCAATACACTAGAATCTCTCTAGACATTTTGTATATATGTTCTTAAAGTCGATACTCGGAGCTAAAAGATCGGTTGATAGGTACAGAGCACATCATAGCTACAGTGTTTGGTGAATTTATCCACCCTATATATACAATTACTCTATATATAATTGCAGAATGCGTTGAGCCTAAGTGGCATGTTCTCACGCTTCGGAATTTTATGTGGCAAAAAGCCATGCTTCGGAGTCAAGCTTGGATATAAATTAATATTTTTTATACAAAAATAAGTAGGCTTTGATTCATTTAATATCTATGTATATCATTCATATTAAATCCTAGTTGATCTCTTCCTTCCTTTATCCTACAATTACTTACCATAAATTATTTTAAGTTTCCTTTCCCTACATTACCATATATTAAATTTTATTTTCTTATTTAATCCATACACCAATTATTATAATGTTTATTCTTTTTATTTTTAAAATTTTATAAATTTTTTGGTTTGTATTTTATGTTTATATATGATATATCAAATTACTTTTCTTTTAACAATCTTCGATTTGACATCTATATTATATTTTCAAAAATATAAAATAGTGATATATAGTCGTATAAATAAAATCTAAAATTGTTATCAAACTAGATTAAAATATACCAAATAAAATTATATTTTATCTTCAAAGCAAGAAAAAATTATGTGAATTAACATACCATAATATAACTATTTTATTTAGAAAAAAAATAAATAAACTAAGTATGAACATCAAATTAGTATAAAAAAATATTCTAAAAATTTATGTCTCGACTTAATTAAAGACTATGCAAAAACATTATGATTGTGAAAAAAAAAAGTAAATAAACATTATAATTAAAATATAAAAAAGAAATTTTTTTATTTCATAAAGTTTAAAATATTACACTCATACACATTATATTTTAAATTGTTAATTATTATAAAGTTGAAGATATTTTATAAAGTTGTTAATTATTGTTAATTATTATAAAGTTGAAGAAATTGTGTGCGAAAGCATTGTGCGATGAATATGCGACAATCATGCAATGAATATGTGACAGTTATGCGATTCATTCGCATAACCCTTCACAATTTTTGAGGTGAAAGTACAAATGAATTGTGCAGTGAATATACGGCAGTTATGCAATGGATATACGACAGTTGCACGGTTCATTCGCACATTCTAAAATAAAAAACAGATTGTCAGCGAACGGTGTAAAAAACTTAATATATCTATGGTGGGGCAAAATGTTGCGCATTAAAAGTATATGCTCTACAAATTTGATCGATAATTTGTTTCACCTTTTTTTAGGCCATTGAAGAAAATAAAAGAAGACTAAAAGTGTACAAGAACCCCCAAACTTATGAAAGAGTCCTTGCACAAAAAGGATAACTGAAAAAGCTTTTTGTGATTAATTAAGATTGGTGGGAGGCAGTTTTGCTATTGAGTCATCGGATGACTCAGCTTATGGAGTCATCCATAGTTATTGACAAATAGTGTATTGACACGTTACATTTTTCGTATTTCTTGTTGTTTNCGAGGGTCACCCATTTTTGTTCCATTTTTACAAATGGTTGTGCTATGTTATACTCGGATCAAGGAGAAAATTGAACTAGTTTTATGGTCGGTTCCCAATTAAGTAAGCTAGTCCAGTCCGAATTTGATAACATTGTGGACTGATTTAATTGATATTATCCAATTGTCACATTTTTTTTCCTATAATCTTGAAGAGTTACATCAATATGCATGTTAGATGTCATACCGATCGACTTTTTGTACGACGTGTCTGCCTTTCCTCCAACATTGTGAATACCTTAATTACTTCTTAACAAGGTGATAAAATTATGCATTAGGCAAATTTGCAAACTAGAAAAAATCCTTCCACCACAAAAATTCTATGGAGATATCAGATGGTTTTCTTATGAAACTATCCATCACTTAATATATTGATATCTGTCCAAAATGTATTTATTACATGATACGTGCCAATACACCAATTTGTCAATAACTATGGATGACTCCATAAACCGAGTCATCTGATGGCTCCATAGCAAAACTGTAATAAATAAATATGAAAAATAGATTTATTAAAATAACCATAAATGAATAAATTAAGATTTCAATCAATCCGGCCGTCTTGACCATCAGACTAAAAAGTCTCACCACCAAAAGTCAGATTTGAGAAGATCAAAATAGAAAAAAAATTTGTTATAAAATAACGTTTTGTTGTAAAATTTTCTCTATTTTTATTTTATTTTTTTGTTTTGTGGTCCCCACAATAATCAGTAAGCCAACGCCCATCTCACCATATTAACTACTATATACTAATTGTAAGCTCACGTGTAGGGTTCAATGCACCATCATTTTAAAATTCCATCATTAGCCCTGCAGGGCATGGTTATTATATGAAATCATTAGAATTTACCACACAAGAAAAAATGTAGAGAGAGAAAGAGATTGATTTTGTTGGTTGATGAGGTCATTGGATGGGCTAACGTTTCTAACTTAACCAAATTCTTTTACGTTAATCCTTTTTGTACCCTCTTTTAAGCTCCTCACATGTAACAATAATGGCCAATCAGATTTGATTATAAATTAATTGCAATCATGCGTGTTTACCGCGTAAATATGGAAGACAAACGGATGGAGTTGAGCTGGATAAATTTTAGTTAACCATAAGTTTGGTGATTTATATGGATTAAGTATTGATGGGTTTTGATGAATTTTTCGTGATTCGTTCATTAAGTCACGTTATCCAAAAAGGTTGTGTATATATAAATATATATATATATATATATATATATATATATATAGGATGTGGTTCAAATGAGAATTAAGTCTTAATGTGAGAACCGTGAGAGACGCTATTTTTAATTATGCGTAGTGCTATGATTGATTGTGTTTTGTGTTATTTTTAACCAAGATGAATTTTATTAAAAAGAGCAACACAATTTTTGTTAGCATTGGTAAAAATGATAGCATCATCTAATATGAAAAATAACATCATACACAATTAAAAAATATAGCATAAAAAACGGTTCTCACTGTTCTCACACTATGACTAGTTTTTAAATGAACTTTTAAATACTTTAAATGAAAATCAATGATTATCATACAAATGTGTAATTTATAATAGATCAACCTTGAGGTTGAGAAAAAAGTAAATTATTTTCATGTGATATTGTAGTGATACATGTGATTTTCTTATTTAAATCTCAATGATCGAAGCCGAATGGTAAGTAGAGAGCTTTAACACTCAATTCGAAGTTATATATATCTTGTTTTATCTCATGTGATGTTCTGATTGCTCAACACTTAGGACTTATTAAGTTAATATATTATAGGTTTGATTGTAATGCTCGTGCACATGTTTAATCTCATGATGTACGAATTGAAAAGATTACAATTTCCATATAATTAAATTTAATGATTTAATAATGTATTGATGTGTTGCTTACTCTTCTCTAAACAAACGCTACTATTATTATCAATAAAAATACATACTTATAATAAAAATATCATATTTTTATTTATATTACTTTCTAGAGTACGATATTTTGTTAAAAAAAAAATGTATAACTATCTTAAGTATGTGTAACAATAATTTTACATAACTAGTGGATGAAATCTCGTGCCTAAGATGGTTTGTGCATCATGAGATAAATAAGAATATTTTAATGAACAGAATATTTGTTCTGTTAGATTGCAGATATATATAATCATATATTGACCTAGTAATTTTAAGTAGTGAAGCTATAGCGAACATGATTTTGGAAAGGGGCTGGGTGGATGAATAATTGGCGTAGATTTTAGGCAAATGCAGATTATGATGAGCACTCAATTGGGATGAATAAATGTTGGCTGGCTATGACCATGCAAATCTTTTGATAACTGCCCTACATTTATGAAGTCAAAGAAAAAAAAACTTGAATATTAAAACGAAAAACAGCCCCAAACACCTTGAATCATGAACCTTAAATGGTTTGCCCAAATAAGAAAATAAAAATGTAAATCAATTTAAGGTGGCTTGAAGAATTTAGAAGGCATGTAATGATTAGAAGCTTGGCCATAATTTGGATTTTCAGACCCGAATTTATGACATAAGGATCTCATTAACTTACCCCCAATGATAATTTTTCTTGTGGGAAGGGTACAATTTAGTTTGGTGCTCAAATTTAGTTATTGTGCAATAGTGCAATTAACTTGGAAATACTCCGCTCCGGTATATTAATGTAGAATGTACGTATCCTAAATATTGATTTATGGTATTTTGCAATTTTATGTACGTATCCGAAGAAGAGGCTATATCAAAGGTCTGGTGACGGTGAGGTATTGTAAAGCTCCCACACTAGTGGATTCAATACCTTGTGTATGTATGGGCCAACCTTTTCAAATTGCCCAAAAGAGTCGTCG